AGAAACAGCTTATTCACTGAATGCAAACCAACATCTCCCTTTGACGTTCTGAGTAAACAGAAAACATGAAAATGTCCTTCATACCTGACATTACTGACCCACCTTGCACACACTGTAGAATGATTAATCTGTCATAATGAAAATATGTGTTTCATGTGTTAATCTGTCCACAGTCTTATATGCTATTCTTCTCAAGACCAGCTATAAAAAGTTGTAAGATTTCTCTCCAGGAAAACAGCCAATAGCCAAAGACCACACCTTACTAAATACTGGGTTCTCTGCTTAAATATTATCAGACCAAGGTAATAAATACAGCGAATCTACTGTATTTATATGTTAAAGTTTAATTACGAAGTAGTTTCGTTTAAATCAGTTTGCTAGAATCCTACCTAGACCATAAAGACTGGAAACACTGCTTATCTACAGGCCATATTTCCAAAAAGTAGTATCTCCATATTTAAAAAAAAAAAATCCACTAGCATTCTTCTGTATTTTCAACACCCCATGCTACTATGTTAGGACGAAACTGTGGCTTTACTTCCTCTTGCTTCTTCTCTCTTAACAAAAGCCAAGATCCATGACATAACTCAGCACTCACAACCCAGGCAAACTTCCTGTAGGTATAGTCCTATTTGTTTAACGAGGGGGCTATGTTCTGAGAAGTGTGACGTGAGGCGACTGTGCCACTGTGAAAACAGCTCACAGCTATACGGTACAGGGTACTGTTTCTAGGCTACAACCCACACTGCACAGCATGTTACTGTACTGACTGCCGTAACACTGGTAACACACTGGTAAGGACTGTGTATCTAGACCTGTCTCAACATAAGAACAGTCCAGTAATCATACAGTACACACGACACTGACCCCCCACAGAGCTTAGAGGACTGGAGGTTTCTCTGGCGAGTGAGCGGGCAGAGAGTACGAAGGCCTGGGACACTGGTGTTCACTACTGTAACCCAAACTGTGCACTTCCAGTGCACTGAACCTGAAAAACAAATTAACCCGGGCTTACCGTAACTTTTTACTTTATAAATTTTAAGTTTTTACTTTTTGCTTCTTTTGTAATAACACTGACCTCAAAATAAAAACATACTGTGCAGCCATATAAAAGTACTTCACTTTTTTTTTTTGACAGCACTGGGGATTGAACCCAGGGCTTCAGGGCCACTAAGCTAATTTTTTATTTTGGGGTAGGATCTCGCCAAGTTGCTAAGATACCCAGGCTGCTTTGAGCTTGTGATTCTCTTGCCTCAGCCTCCCAGTGTTGGCATTACAGGTATGTGCTACCACCATACCTGGCGCCTTACACTCTTATTTTCTAAATATTCTTCATTAAATTTTAACTTCTTAAACTTCTGTTAAAACTAACACCACTGTGTAAGCCTACATGGGGTCAGGCTCATCAGTATCACGTCTTCCATTTCCGTTTCATGTACCGCTGGAAGTTCTCCAGGGGAAACAGCACATGTGGTGTCCCCTACAATAACAATGCCTCTCCTGACCCCTCGCAAGGGCCCGCTCACGGCTTGTATTAAGGTACTGCCTCTGTTGAAACAAGTCTGTGGTGGTTTGCATGACTTGTGACTTTTCCCCTGGATTTGCTTATGTGCAGATAACGCACTCTGAGCATCGCTGTTAATGGAAACCTTCCCAAGCAGGGAGCAGGACTCCCTGCGGTCTGTAGAGTTTCCGCTGAACCCTTCATTGCGGCTGTATGGGGGTCTTCCCTTTCTTCTCTAGTTTATCTTGCTATCTTTTCAGTATGTGCCCATTAGGCCCGAGGAATTTTTCAGCACCCTTATCTCAGGGGCCACTGTCAGATATGTAGCTTGTCACTGACAAGAAACAGCATTCCGCAGCATAACACTCTATTTTAAGCACCAAAATATTTTACTTCTGGCTCTTGTGGCTGGTAAATGGCACACTTTCTGCTTGTTTTTGTCGGAGAAAGACGTCTGCAGCAGGACAGAAATCTGTAGTTTGCTCTTTGCACTCTGCAATTGAGTTTGCCTCTATAAATGACTAGAACCAAGAGCTTTAGGAAGGACTGAGGAGTCTGAGGAAGCCAAAACAAGAAAGTCACTGTGATATGCAAACTACATGTAACCTCCCTGGGGGCTGCTGGAAGAGGCCAAGACCGCTGTGAGCACGGTGCAGCAGACCTCGCCAGGCTTTGGAAAGGAAGGCTCCTGACTCTCCTGCCCCTCTGCCTCTACTCTTTAATCAGAAAAATGGATCCGAGCCTAATTACGCCAATTACTTGCTCTCCTCCTTGGGAACAGAAAAGTGACTCAAAGTGGAGTTTCTGTCTGCACTGGAGGCAGCAGGAGGAAGCAGGAGGCAGCAGGAGGCAGGCGCACAGGCAGCCGAAGGAGCAGAGCCCAGGGCTCCCTGAGGGCGTCCTCCCACTGTCTTCTCCACGCTGCTTACCACGCCTGGCTCCACTCTCCAGCTTCTGAGTGAGACACATGTACCCCGCTACAACAGAGTCCTGCCTTCATTCTTAAATAGCTCCTGCTTCCTGAAGCCGAAGAATCCAAAGTAATACAACAGATAAACAGGGTACTGACCATTCGTTTTGTAGTTCACAAAAACTGCTGAAAAGCCAATTACTCTGTGTTGGAAAGTTAAGCATTATTCTACTGACCATGTGAAAGGACCTGTATTAGGATGACAGGGTAGTGTACAGGTGGGCCTAACACCAAAGTGGGAAGGAAGCAACCTAAGAGAAAATCGAACACTGGTAAACAGCAGTGCGGCTATAATAAGAAATACATAATATTTCCTGAGTGCTTACCCTGTGCCAGGCACTGTTATAAGCTACTCAGAAATATTAACTCATTTATTCTTCCTAAGTGAGCACCTTCTCTGGAAACTATGAAGAAACACTATCTCATTTACAGATGAGAAGCCTGAGGCACACAGAAACCAAATGGTTTACTCAGAGGAACTAACTTCTGTGACAGCATCCCACACTTTAACCACTGTATCTCTGCCTCTTGGATGAAGTGGAAGCAGGATAAAAAGCCCAAAGAAAGTAGCAAGACCCCTTCACCCTAAACAATGGAAAGTATCAGTTATTCAGTAACCAATGTCTTTCTTCAATCAAAAAATATGACACCTTTAAGCCAGGAAGTAAAGCATCTAATGGGTAATAGTTACTTGCAAACACAACTGCTTAGTAAGTATGTATAAAATAAAGTTACTGTAATGCAACTCTTGATCAGTTTTGTCTTTGTTTCTATTTGTAGGACAGTAAGAAAATGATTAATTCTGCCAACTATAAATTATAACCAGTTGAGGGGAAAGACAGAAAACTGTAAGAAACAGAACTAAATATTCTAGTAGCACAACTTTATGCCAACTTCAAATAGCTCCACATACCCCAACAATATAAAAGTATCTCTGTGTAGAACATAGCTAAGACTATCATGTCTGTTTAAAATGCTACATTTCCAGGTAAGTGTTGAATTCAAAGTTAGGCAATAAGAAAGAATACTAATGGTTAAGGTATAACTGACACACAGTACAAAAACACTAAGTATTGCTGAACATGAAACAATTCTCCTTTGGCTGGAGCAACTTTAATTATTCAAAAGTCTCACAGAGAGCAAGGTTTGGTGGTGTGCGCCTACAATCACACCCTCTGGGACGCTGAGGCAAGAGGACAGCAAGTTGGAGCCCAACCCCGGCAATTTAATGACTTCACGAAACTCTGTTTCAAACTTTAAAAAACAAAAGGCAGATGGGGTGTGGGATGCAGTTTAGTGTGAAGGCCCTGAGTTCAATCCCCAGTACTGGAGAAAAAAATATATAGATTTCTTTTGCTTTTTTTAATATTTCTCATGTCTGCATTTCTCAACCATCTGGTTTCTTCATCTTTTTATATCGTTATACTTCATACACTTCATCTTTTTGCCTGAAGTGCACACATAAAAACGGTAAGGTTTTATTTTTAATTTTTCCTGCAGGCATATACAGGCATGGTTGTACTGTTTAATGCCATTCGTGTTCACGCTCACACCCTTAGATTTTCAGTGATAATTAACAAACTCACACAACTGAATATTCAAGGAATGTTTTTACCACTTCTGTGCTGCTTTCCTGTTGCCTGACCCATATTTTTTGCCCTTAGCTGGGTTGTATACCATCATAGTTGTCCTTTCATACAATGTTTCCTTCCACCAACCACTAAGGGAAAAGAAAAGTGGAAGCAAATTAAACTATTTTTCAGTTAATTTGCATATTGATGCTAGAATGGAAAGATTCAATAATCAAGCACTATCCTCACCTAGGATCTCATTTGATCTTAAAATGTTCCATTCAGATTACTATATCCTATCAGAATGTTTTTTTCCTTGGATGAAAGACAGGTTGGTCTATTTCTGGTGTCATCCAAAACAGGTACTTTAGTTCATTTCATTTAGCTACCCAAACAGACACTAGGCTTACCACAAAGAAATTGAAATGCTTTCTAATTTTTTTAATCTTTACTCAACCACTACAAGCATCCTTAATTTAAAAATAATTTTTTAAGAAATATAGCCAGAGTTAAAAGAACTAGGATACAAAAAAAAACCACTAGGATGTGGAACTAGGATGTGTTATGTTCATGTACTGACCCCATGACAACTGTAATCATTATGTAATGCAAACATATACTAACAAATATTCAAATAAATTTTAAAAGTTTACATAAGTCAGTAAAACCCTATTTTCCCTACTCTTTCTGAAAATGTCATGTAGTTTATCTTAAAACAGTAATTGTTACATTTTGAAATATGTAATTGAGCATTAACTCACATGTTGGAACTGATGTAGCAATTTCCTCTATAAAAAATAAAGTTTGGGGGCTGGGGATTTAGCTCAGTGGCACAGCACCTGCCTGGCAAGCGCGAGGTCATGAGTTCAATTCCCAGTACCGGAAAAAAAACAAAAAAATAATTAAAAAATAAAGTTTTGGGATTGAAGTAACAATGGGAGACCTGCATACTTACCAGCTTCTCAATTTCTGATTCGAGATTCTGGATGCAGTCGAGTTTTCTCTTTCGACAGCGCTGTGCAGCAATTCTGTTTTTACTTCTTCTGCGAATGTCATGGATGCAATCCAGTTGTTCAGGAGTCAGTTTGTGCATTTTTAACAAGGATTGAAAATCATTCCGAGACAGTGAAATTATTCGTTGTGCATTAAATGGCAGTTTTACCTGGAAGGTGAAATAAACATGAGTAATTGCTATTTTATAATTATACTTAAACCTGGGAAGATAAAGAACCATATCTCATTTTTATCAAAGAGCTTAGATTTTTTTCAGTGGTCCCTATTCTCAGTTTTTATACCATCCATTATAATAAAAATTAATAGTAAATGTCCAACCTGAGAGAGGATTCAGAAGATAAATTGAGAAGGTAGTATCTCTCACCAGACACAAAAACAAAATGAAATGATAGAATCTAAGATATTTTACTACTGCATGTTAATACCCTACAGAGTTCATTAAGTTTCTTTCTAAAATATTTTAATGTTTCTTCAACCAAAAATGAAATCCATTTTATTCTTTAAATATTACTATGCAGCACTGATTTAATATTGGTATAATTATGCCAGCAATTTCTAAATCATTTCAGAAAACATATTTTTTCTGTCAAGAAAGCAATAGTTTCATATAGCTACACATTATACTTGTAGAAAAAAAATGTAGAAAAAAATTTAAATCTTATTAATATTTTAGAGTCATTTTCTACTACTTTTGGCAAAAGGAAAAGATGACTTTTCTTTCAAATAAGAAAATTATGGGAGTTTAATTATATTATCAAAAACACAAAAGGAATACTGGTCAGTTAGTCTGGCAACCTAATTAGGTTGCCTTTCAAGCCTATAGAAATTATTCATACAAAATCTCTTAGTAGGGGCTGGGGATTTAGCTCAGCGGCAATGCGCCTGCCTGGCAAGCGCAAGGTCGTGAGTTCGGTTCCCGGTACCGGAGAAAAACCAAAAAAAA